GGGCTGAGGGCAGGGTGGGACAGGGCCTGCTCCCGTTGGGACTGTGGCTGGGACACTGCTGGGGTGTCACTGGGACACTGCTGGGGTGTCACCGGGACGTTGCTGGGGTGTCACTGGGTCCTTGCCTTCCACTGGCTGCTCCTGCCCAAGCTGCACGTCCCCCAAACCCGGGGCACAGTTTTTTCCAGCCCAGCCATGTCACCTGCCCTTGGAGCTTTACTCTCTGGAGGGGCCCCAAAACCTCGATGCAAAGAAACGAAGCCAAGAGAAATCCAACCTGTCCAAAGCCAGGGATAATGGGGGAAGTGCTGGGGCTGGGATGTCCCTAAGCCCCTCAGCCCGCTGGGTGTGGGCCTGCCTTGGGGTGTTACAGTGCTTGGGGGCAGTTTGGTGCTTCAGCCTTTTCCATGGAGAGTTCCCCCAGTGCCAGGGCGGATGCAGGGACAGCAGCCAGGATGGAAATCACCCACTCAGAGCAGCCCAGCCGGTCCCAGCCGGGGATGGGAAGAGGCTCCTCTCTGATGTGTTATCAGAAACACAACAGAAAATCCAATTTCTGCCCTCCCTCCTCCTCCCCTCTGCAGGCAGCAGCTCCACAGCCATGGAGGAGGATCCAGGCACTTTGAATATTTAAATCCCCGAGGTTTCTGTAGGGTTCTGCTCATCCCAAGTTCAAGTGATTGTTGAAGAGGAGCTGCTCTGTTCCATTATTGACGCCGGAGCCGTCTCCGCTCTCGCTATCGTGCGGCACCGACCTCGACAGCGGCTGATAATAGGATTGTAAACTTTTGAAGTTAATGGGAAAATTATAGTGCTCCGTGTATTATTCTAATGCAATAAGCTGCCACATAGTGTCTCTCACCCCGCGGGGGCTCACGGCTTGTCACCCAGCCTGGGAAGGGAATGATTAAAGCCCCATGAAATTCGTGGTGTCACAAAAGCCTTAAGAAGCACGAAATTCTTGGGTTTCCATTAAAAAAAAAAAAAAAAAGAAAAGGCAAAATTGCATTTTGACGTCGCTGTTTCGAGAGAGAGAATCATCATCAGTTCCAGATGGGCTGGGGCGGCACAAAGGGCTCAGCCCGAGTGGGGGCTGAGACAGAACTCGGGAGGAAAACACTGGTTGGTGCCTCTTCTGCTGCAGAACAGTCCCAGGGACGGTTCAGTCCCAGAGCCCTGATCCCAGAGCGCGTCCCGTGGGGCTCTGTCTGTGCCTCCTGCACCCCAGAGATGTGCAGGACTCATCCCAGGGGATGGAGGCAGGGCTGGGCACAGGCACCGAGGCCCTGCACAGCTGGAACTGTGAAATCAAACCTCTCTCAGGGAGCTCCTCCTCTGGCAAATGAGCTCGGAGACACGAAGAGGATAAAGGCACCGGCTCTTCCCTTCCCAGGTTTATCTTCAGTCCATGTGAAGTGAGCAGGGCTGCTGCAAACACTTAAAACAATTCGTGTTTAAACAAATCCAGAGGCGAGGAGGGAAACGTGCTGGTTGCCCCGAAACAACCCTTTTCCCCTGGCGGTGAAATGCTCCTCCCAGCACAGCCGGGATGTGTATCCCGCATCCACATCCCTCCTCCACATCCCACCCCCCTCCTGTCGCCCTTTGCAGATCAAGCTGAAGGAGATTTTCGAGACGCCCTCGGAGATCGCGCTCGTCCTGGAGCTGGTGACGGGGGGAGAGCTCTTTGACAGGTATGTCCTGCCCGGGGTCCCCAGGACGGATCCCCCCCGGATGGTGGGGGCAGGATGGGGATGGAGGGGGCAGGATGGGGATGGAGGGGGCTGATGGTCCCGTGTGCCCCCAGGATCGTGGAGAGGGGGTTCTACAGCGAGCGGGACGCGGCTCACGTGGTCAAGCAGATCCTGGAGGCAGTTTCGGTAACGTGTCTTCCAGGGAGGGGGTCCCACGGGGGGCTTGGGGGTGTCACTGTGCGGGCTGCACCCAAATATCCCTTGGGAGAGGCACCCAGAGCTGCACCCATCCCAAATACCCCTGGGGGAGGCGTTTTGTCTGCTCACCCTTGGCCTTCCACAGGCACCTCTGTGAGATGGATCCACTTTTAGGGGAGGAGGGAGGAGGGTCAGTGCTGCTCTGCATCCCGGGTCTGCTGGAGGGGGGGTTTCTATGGAAACAGGAGGGTTTAAAAATGGGAACTCCTAACTGGAAATGTCCTCCCCAGACCCCCCCGTGCCCTGCCATGAGGGCTGTTCCCAAAGGACCCGCCGGGCGAGTCAGTCCCGGGGTTGTTACAGGTCCCCAGTTGCTGCTGCCACCTCCCAGATTCTGTCTGAGGCCGTTCCCTTCCTTCCCTCATCCCACTTTTTCCCTCTGTGCAGTATTTGCACGAAAACGGGGTCGTCCACCGGGACCTGAAGCCGGAGAACCTGCTCTACGCTGACCTGTCCCCCAACGCGCCCCTCAAAATCGGTGGGTCTGGGGCCCCGCCGGGGGGTCGTGGCACGAGGGGGGGGTTCCTGGTGCC